GTCCAAGCCGGGGCTTGAACCGGCAACCTTCCGATTACAAGGCAAACTCCCAACTCTTGAGCCACAATCACCCATATATATACATATGTTTACACATGTATATATATACATATGTTTACACATGTATATATATACATATGTTTACACATGTATATATATACATTTTTATTCAGTCTCAAGCCTGATTTTAAAATAAAATTTTAAGTTATGATGGGGTTTATGGATGTTGTAGCGGTGGCTAAAGTAATGCTCTGTGTTCATATAGTACAAAAACAAAGAAATGTGTTTGTGTGTTGGTAGGTACCTCCATTTTTTGATACTTCTCCCAGGCAGTTGTTTGGCACTTTTTGCGCACATCGTTTATGACAATTAAATTTACAGTCTGAGAGAGAAACAAGAAAGAGGAACACAAGGTTCAGGAAGAGGCTTTGACATCAGCTCCACAGTAACTGTTCAAAATCTTAATACAGATGAAGACATGACGCAGTTAAAACTCCAAAACGGCCAGATTACACTATATTGCTAAAAGCATTTCCTCGTATGCCTTTATGAACTTGAGGGACATCCTATTCTTAATCCATAGGGTTTGATGTTGGCCCAACCTTTGCAACCTTACACCTTGGCTCACAGTCCCCACTCATTTATACTGAAGGTGTTTTATCATGTTGAGGTCAGGACTGTCCATGTCTTTATGGTACTTGATTTGTGCACTGGTGTGCAATCATGTTGGAACAGGGAGATATAGAACTGCATCGTGTTCTGCATCCTGCAGACGTCTTAAATGAAAGGACGTACAACATGATGTCTATAACCAAGGTTCTAGAAACTGTTAAACAAAGCTCTGGTGACTAGGATGGATTTTCTCCAAAGATCCATCCAGGGTGTACTCTAAGCTACAAGAGAAAAATAGCACAGGAGCAGACCTACCCAGAGCTGAAACTGAGCAATATTGGAAGAACATCTGGGAAAAAGATGTGTCACACAGCACCAATGCTAAGTAACCTCTCAGCAAGAGCCAGTCAACATCACAAAGGCAGACATCTAACAATGAGTCTCCAGAATGAACAGCTGGCTCAGCGAAAAAAGTGACTTTTGGCAGCCATTGTGGACAGTGTTGGGGAGTAACGGAATACATGTACCGACGTTACGTATTTAAAATACAAAATATGAGTAACTGTATTCCGTTACAGTTACCGTTTAAAAAGGTGGTATTCAGAATAGTTTGTTGAATTACAGGGATTACACGGCGGTCTTTTCCTGTTTCATATGTTAGGCTATGCCCTCTCTATTTCTGGTAATTCCACGCCGGTGGAAACTCAAACAAAACACACAATAAGAGGCTCTAAGGCATGTGTCTCAATCTCGCGGCCCATGTTACCTGTACTTGCGCCCGCATAATGATGTGAAGAAATATTTTTAAAAATTCTTTTTCAACAAATTATTTATTATGAAGGCAATATGAGCAGAGTGTTACAAGCACAGTGTCACGTCCGATGTGGCAGACGTGTGGAATAGGAGATAGGACCCAAAAGGCGGCAGCTCTGGTGCAGATGAGTATTTATTTACAAAAGAAAATACAACAGCAATGGCGCGGGTGAAGGTGTAACAGAAAACCTAAACTGGGCAAACTAACAAAACAAACCAGAAACGTAGATGCAGGGAGGTTCGGGGAAATACATACGGAGAGACGCAGGGAGACCGAGGGGAAACAACACAGACGAACCAGCACGAGGACGAGGTAACACACCCTATAAATCCACACGTCAGGAATCAGGGGATGGGAAACAGGAGGGGAACACACCTGGAAGACATCACAGCTGACGAGGCAGGGGAAACATAAACAGAACACACTGACATAAGACACAGACCTT